TCTATTGAAGGTTTCTGAGTCCCACAATGGCCGCGGCTGAGACCAGGTGTGAGCCCAGAACTGGCAGAGCTGATTTTCTAACACTTTTCTTAATGGTCCCTTTATCGTAACACACCCACAGACCTGCTAGCTTTGAGAAGTGACAGGTAATAGGGACGCAATATCTCATTAATCCAAAGTGCAGCGTTTATGGACGGCATTAGGATTTGGCAGCAGCACTGACGTCATGGTGGGCCAGGTGACGCTGTGGCCTGCGTCCCATCTGCCATGGGACAGGTGCAGAGCCGTGCGAGCTCCCGTCCTCTCCTTCCTCACCCTTCAGGATAGCCTGTGCCTTCTGGCCACAGATGGGAAATCCACCTAATCCTGCTGAGCATGCATCCAGATTAAACAGGGGTTAAAAAACATTTGCATGAACCCCTTTTGCTGTGACAACACCAATTACATATGAGGCACCCTAATGTTTTCACTGAGCACAGCACAAACCCCTCAAGCCAGCTCTCGAGCGACCCAGGAGCACCGAGGGGCGGGTGTGAACTCTATTGCCTCTCTTCAGCCTGAGAGCTGGACTTCAGTCCCAACCCCCTCACATGCAGGAGCCTCGAATAAAGAGGAGCTTAGTCAGTCATACCCTTGATTAAGTGGGTGATTAAGCATATTAAAGCACATTCCGGGGAAAACTGCCACACGATTCTGCAGCCTTTCAGTTAAAAATCCAGGATTTGAAACCATACTGGGCCTAATAAAGAAACTTTTCAGCCAAGTCTGGACTTGCCTTTGACTGGCTTTTCTATTTTCCCATTAAGCAGAACAATGCAGTTGTGAAGCACAACTCTGAAATCGCGTCTGTCAGTGTGCCAGTTCACATTTCTGTCATCCAATTCCATTTATACATTTTTTTGGACCTTGTTATATTAAGAAAATGTTTTTTTTTATTGAAGAAGAAAATCCCCAATTCCCACTGACACAGCAGTTCCAGTGGAAACTGTGTGAGTAGCAGCGCTGGTATTCTAGTATTTTGCTTCTGGCTTTCTCTCTGTCCCATCTGCCAGCGGGGCAGAGGATGGTGGGGGTGTGTCAGAGTCTTTGCATTCTGGTGAGTGAAGGGAGTGTCAGTGCACCCTTGATTCAAGGCCATAAGGCTGCAATACCCCCCAGTCACCAGGGTTGACTTGCGCCAACAACTCAGACAGACATGGTCCTGGCACACGCCCTGCTTTGATCTGTAGGGCAGTGGTTCAGTGGTCAGGATTCTGGACTCATAACTAACACTGGGATCTGTGGGTTCAAATCCCAGGTGAGACCCTGCTGTTGCTAATGGGTGGAGAGGGGGGCGTGTCTCAGCTTTTGCATTCTGGTGAGGCAGGGTGGGAAAACATGCAGCGGTCCCTGTCTGGACTGGGGAAGTTGCAGCTGAGCCATTCCTCTTCAAGACTCTCCGCTATCTGACTGAGACAATGGGATCTGAGCAGGCAGCAGTGTAGGCTCTGGACTGGTAACTGGAAGGTAGTGGGTCTGTGCCCTAGAGAGAAGCACTTCGCCAGAACTGCTCCAGTAAAGTACCCAGCAGTATAAATGGGTGCAAATGGAAGTGGCTTGGGATAAAAGCATCAGCCGACTAAATGAGTAAGAAAAAGATCAGGCCAGGTTCACGACGCTGCGATGTGAACAGTGTGCACTCCTCCTCGCTGGAGAGATCCCATGAGTCATCTGTGAACATTCGTCAGTCTTTAAACAGCGATGGCTGCTGGCTGCCGGGTGTCTCTGTCCTGAGCAGCGCAGCTCCGGCGCTCGCAGGCAGAGAGAAGCACAGGCTGTGAAGACAGTGAGTGTTTACTACTTCGTTTGAATGGACTTAGGAGGATAATAACGCTTCAGATCCCCAGAGGGTTGTTCTCCACACATCTGTGTTAGCTTTCCTCGCTTCACCCGCTGTGCTGAGAAAGGAGGCCCCCTGCTTAGTCCATGTGAGAGCCATGCCCCTGGGGCATCAGCCCCTTCCTTCTCCCAGACCTTTGACCTTCGCAGATCATTTCCTCCTGTATTAATAACCCTCCTGCGACCGACACCCTGTGTAGCATCATGTTCTAATTACAGAGATTCGCCTCCTGTTTCCAGTGTAGATTTCACTGTCTAATAAGCTCAGCAGAATTAGCGAGCGCTCTGGGCCAATTAGCCTCACAAGCACAGTCCCGCACACATCCGTCTCCCCAGCGTCCCACCCGGGAGAGTGCTGGGATCACAGCCCCTCTGTCAGGAATGAAAGCAAGTCTCTTCGCAAGATGAAGACACATCACGCAGCATGGAAAGAGAGCAGATAGTTGGTGTGTGATAGGAGGTTGGTGTGTGTGCCTGTGGGTGCACATCTGTATGTCTATTGCTGGCAGTCTAGGAGAGAGTCACTCACCTTACTCCCAGTAAAAGAGTTTGATGTGGAGACCTCTTTTCGTACTCGTCCACAATCCCATGAAAACGCCCCACGACAAACTGGAGCACTGAATTATTTAGGCCCAGGCCACACTGCTCCACTTGCCCCATGACTGCGTATTGCATCTCCTTGTCATGAAGCTTTGCTGCAGGCTGTACAGCACTGCTTGAGCTTTTGTGAGCTTATTGCTCAGCATGCTGGATCTGGAACTCAGAATTCCATTTGCATTGAAAATGCAAAGGGTTGTTTGCTGTGTGGGATAAAAAAAAAAACAGTATTCAAACAAACCAAGCATGCTATGTCTGTACCTCAACCTAGATTGCTTTCTCATTTATTTTTCTTAAAAATGATGGTGTATTTTTAGGGTTCATCTAAAAAATTATTTTCTCTCAGCACAGAGCAAGTGCACCAATATACAGGGCACTGGAAGTACACCATAACCTCTAGTCCCCCATCCCTTACTATCATGAGGGATCTGAAATCCATAATGGGTGGACACAGTCTGTTCTCCTAAAATGATTGTGTTGACTCATTTGGCAGATCTGTTGCATGATGGGTATTTTTCAACCATTGCTCTGCCCTTAGCTCCTAGGAGAGTTGGGCTGTTCCTGCACAGTCAGGTTCCACAGGCTCTGGTCTTGGACAGAGAAGACAATGAGGGGACCTGTAGCGTATTCAGAATCCTCAAAGACATTGACAGAGCCAACCCAGTGGGCTTCTTCAGTATCAACACTGAGACCTAAACCAGAGGAAACAAGTGGGGGCTACAGCAACGTACATTTAAAACCGAAGACTTCTTTACACAAATTGTTGCGGGGGACTGGAACAGCAGCCCAGGTATGCTGTTGATGCTGAAAATCAGGCTTGGATGGGATTCTTAAATGAATTGGCTACTAGCAACCACATGAGCATTTGCACTTCACTACACTTTCCTGTGTTTTTACCATAACAGGCTCTTTTATGAGAATGTATTCTAGGAGACCAAAAAACAGGCACCTCGCTATTGTACAGGTTTAACAACGCAAGGGCTTTCTGCCTGTTGTTGTCAAGTGGAGACAAATATAGAGCCCTCCAGTCTTCTCTTGACATGGAAAAACACTCAGAGGCTGAGTAGAGGGAGCAGAACAAAGCCAGGCAGCCTTGGAGAATTTGAACAGCTGCTGGGAGGCTCGTCAGAAAGAGCTGAGCTTTTGATTGTGCCTCACAGTCCACACATCCCCTCTCTGACTCTTGCAGTGGCTGGATGAGCGGGCACACAGGCTCGCCCTGCACACTCGCGAAGAATCCAAACCCCTGAGCGAGCGTAGGGGTTGCCACCTATGACAAATAAAATACACCCGAACATTTGGCACATTCTTTCACCATTCAGCCTTCTTACAGGTACTCTGCTCTCACAAGATACTCTAATAGGAACATAACAAAGGTTATAAACCAGAGAAGGCCATTGGGCCCATGAATCCTTTCTGGTAGTTAGTAGCTACTTGACCCACTTTCTTGAAACATGCCAGGCTTCAACAAACAGGCTGGGATTCCCTTTGGGCAAAGAATGGCTTCCTGTTCTGTTTCAAATCTACGTAGTTTCCGCATGTGGCCACTGGTTTGTGTTTCACTGTTTATTGTATGTGCGACAGACTGATGTCCCATCCAGGGTGTATCCTGCCTCGTGCCTGTTGCTTGCTGGGATAGGCTCCAGCTCTCCTGCAGCCCAGCTTATTACATGGGACTTGAACACCTGTAACAGCACAAGATAGAAGACAGCCTCCCAAAAACATGCACAGCACCAGCAGGGCCCAATGCAGGTCTTATGAGGTGCACTGCTCATTCTTGCTTGCCTTATTCTGGTGCTCAGGGCTACTGACAAGGCTACTGATAAAGACAAGGATATCCCGGATGTATCAAGTTTTCTTGGCCAGTGTCAGCCGTTTAAGCATGCCACTTGGAGAAAGCTGGCAGACATGGTCAGAGCTGAACCAGCTTCACAGGCACACAGGGGCCCAAACCTTCTTCTTCCTGTAGAGTGTCAACACTCCTGTAGAATGCTCTACAGAAAGGTATGCAAAGACTTACTCCTGGAGGGTGTATGTTCTTTTTGTGTCTGTGAAGGCACTCCAGCCAGTTCTACCAGTTCTCTGCATTCACGCATCTTGCTGTTTGGCACAGTTCATAGTTACATTGTCAAGCAATGTCTTTCCAGTCACAGTGCCGAGCAGATCTTTCCCGGCAGGTCTGTGGGACGTGTGACTGGTGAGGCTCTTCTATTTTTACTCTGCCCTGGTGTCCTTGGCCTACCTGAGGCAGTGGGGCAGTGGGGCAGCAGCATTTGTTCCCTTCTCTGTCTCTTGAGACAGCTGTCTTTTGCGTCACTGAGAGAGACAAACCCAGCTGTGGTTTTGGATTAATAGGGAAATATCTCTGCATTTCGGAGCACGGCTCAGCCTGCAGGCCTCCTGCTGTGTTCCAGCAGCAAGCGTTACCCCTGACGTCCAAGGAAAGAGAAACAACAGCGATTAAAAAGGCCACAGATGCAGAACAGCCATTCGATCCATCGTCCGCATCTGGCTATATTTTTCTGTGAACCTGTTGTTGTCTCTGGAGTGGGTTCAACTGGGAAAAATCCCTCCTCCTCCAGGGATGAAAGCTCACTTGAAACCAGTCCTGGAAAGGGACAATTTTAAGAGTAGCCAGTCAACACGTACCTGCTTGACTTTGGGATAGGACTGAAGGCCTAATCTAACACTGCCACACAGTTGCTTGGAATAAACTCAGAAACACAAAAAAGCCTACAAATGAGAGGAGGCCATTCAGTTAGCATTTATAGCAAGTGATCTGAGGATCTCACCCAGCTGTGTCATGAAAGAAGCTCATGTATAAGCCTCAATGACATGACTGAGCAGATTATTCCAGGGTTTTCCTCAAATCCGAGGGGTTGAAAAAGGCATATTGTGGCTTAAAGAGGACCCTGCAGCTTGATTCTCTGTTTCTCAGGGAAGGATTGTGCTAGCTTATCCTGCAGGCCTTGGTGACACTGGTTGATTATTCTCATTTTATTAATTTCAGTATGTTAGTATGGAGAGTTCTTGACACAACAAACATTGGCAATAACCGGGATAGGTCCAGGATAATAAAAATTTAACCGCAGCACTCTTCTATCAAATTACACCCCTTCATTCAGCCTTCAGAATCTTCAGGCCTGACCAAAATGAACACCCTCTCATTCCCTCCTGCTAGTCTGAATTCAGAGTGCCTGGGCTGTGGCTGACCACTGAACACAGGGCCGGGAAGTGCTTGTTTGTTGTTTCACTGTATTGTATTGTTTCACTGTTTTTGTCTTTTGTAGTTACACACACACAAAAGAAGAGGTTTCTGTACTGTCACTCTGAAACATGATGCTGTCCAGAAATAAACTATTTACCTAGCAACAAAAAAGCACCTAGCAACTGTGCCTCCCCCACACTGTCTCCAAGACACTGCTTGCCTTTTAAGACCATGCCTTTGTTACAAAAAATATTAAAAGGAAACGAATCAAAATAATGAGTAACTTAGCATCTCTAATGAGTAGGTTAATTAATTGCTGACATTTTAGCAATGACGCCCAAAAACAATGCCAGCAGCAACATAGTTCAGATGCCAGATCACCTTTGACCCAGAAGGGCTTTTGTGCCTCCTCTGTCAATCTTCTGACTCCTGCCCACTTAAAAAAAAACCTAGACTGTCTTATTAGCACCAAACTGCTGCAATATCGTTTGGATGAAGTCTTGGCTTAGACAACACGCAACCGTCAGATTTCTAAACACCTGAAATGCTGTACATTTCAGAAAAACGTACTGTGACAAAAAGCGGATCAGTCAGAACATTTTCTCAAACGTCGGTAAGCCATTTGTCCCTCTGCACTCTGGCCAGTTTCCACACAGTCTCCCCGCCCTGCAGTAAAGCTGTAAACAGGGTTTCATTTCAGTGAGGAAAACCTTCTAAAATATCCCAGAGTAACAGGCTCCTGCTGAATGTCTCAGGGCTTCGGCAGAGGATTCTCCAGAGATCTTAGAAACAGCTTAGCGACCACATCAGCTACTCCAGCACATATATACTGTAACTCGCTTTTAAAAGCGGTTTTGTTTTCAGACCCCAGCGTCCACTTTTGGATTTACAGTATACGGAATGGGGGAGACAGAAGAACGGCCTGTGGCCCACTTCCGGCTCCCGGCAGTCTCCCTCCGAGTCAGGGGAGGGGGTTCGTGGGCTCAGTTTCAGAAATGCCAGGTGCCTGCAGGAGTCAGGGGTCAGGGGGCAGGAGCCACTGCTGTAACACGCCCGCGCATGCAAGACTCACTCCAAGAAACACCTGGTTTGCACTTCCACAGAGCATCCCTCATTCACCATCCCTCAGAATGCAGAAAGGATGTGGGATCATGGAGCTGTAAAGGTGTGGAAGGCTGCTGCTGCTTCAGTAGTGCTACGAAAACCTCTCTAGCGGCAGGGAATATAGCTGCACACTACCCTTAATTACATTTCCCAAGTTACACCACAATATTAGGATGTAGGGATGTTTGGTTTCTGTAAATGGAGCTGAAACGCGTATGAAATCCCCTTACTTTTTTATTTTTCGCATTCAAACCCAATGGAGGTTCTTAACTGAAGACTTCATTAGGTGCAGGACTGACAAACCCCTGCTGTGCAATGAGTTTCTTCTGAAACACCTGTGCTTCCAGCGCATGAGCTGAACTAGCCCCAGGACAAGGTCAATGCGTATCTCCATGTGACGGACCACCTAGCTGCTTACCTGTCAGCGCGGACTAACAGGCTCTGAATCAGCACCCTTGGGCCAGGAGGACAGACAGCCTCCTTGTGGAATGCCTGGTGTCTCCGTAGCAACAAGCAGGCCTATAGTAAACAGAGTACATCCTTTCACCATTCTGGTCCCATCTGGGCCCTGCACACAGCTTGTTCACATTTTATCAACAGTTCACAACCAAAAACACAATTTTTTGGAGGGGGATAATTAAAAAGAGGTAAGAGAATCAGGAATTAGGTACTGCTTGAGGACAAGAATAAACCCGATGTTCAAAGTGGCTGAATTACAAACACAGAACTTGATGGAGGTTTTGCATCAGGTGTGAGCAGGAGTCCTCTGGGAAACTCAAATCTAAATTGTGGAAATGAGTGACCAGTGTGTGGGTCAGTATTCAGTTTAACCTGAAAGTTCCCATGGTTATGATGCAGTAGGGCAGTCAATGCATTTCGGGGATAATATAAAGCACTAATTCGTGTACTAGACAATTCCATTAAAATTAAAAATGACATGCAGGAGAGTACGATGTTCCACTGAGTGCATGTAGTCATGTTCACAAACCCTCTACTGCCTTACTGTTTGAAAAAAGCACTTTGTATGTGCGAGAAAGGAGACTGCAGGAGATTATTTATTTATGGTGAGAAGCTTTATGAAAAAGTATTATTAGATTCCTCTTTTTGAAAAAAAAAAAGAAACATAGCACACTGGAAAACAACTTGTGTACTAAACCATTTCACCCCCTTCAAGCTCAGTCCTTCAACACCATGAGCACCCTTGTGAAGCACGGCACAAGCTGCAGTGACCACAGAAAGCATGGCACCAACAAGGCGGGACAGAGGAAACGTGCACACATATTTACAGCGTTCAGTAGAAAGCTGGAAATAAACTATTGTTGAGGAGAGGAAAAAAAAAACAAAGAATGAAGCCGCAGTCTCTGTTATGATACAGTACGCAAGAGGGAACACTTGCCTTTCTAAGACCGTGGCATACAAGGCATGACCACAGTCCAGTCGAGAGCCCTGGCAGACCTGGGGATACAGGCTGGGAACAGCAGCTCCTTCTAGAAAAACCACAGCCAAGGAGTAGGGGGACCCGTGACAAATCGACAGATCCAATACTTCAGTTTCTCCGGTCGTTTTCATACTCTCTGTCCTGTCTGGCCTTCAGGCACACAGGTGTGACAAGAGCTGCGATACGTTTTACAAAATAAGCCACTGCCGCACCCCGTCTCCATTCTAGTCCTCTGAAGACCTGCAAGATTTTCGCTCAGGCGTTTGAAAGTTTTTTTTCCTCTGGCCTGCTGTTCATCCTCAGGCTGGGAAACATGTCCCACCTCTCCCCAGACTAGGACCAACATGAAAAATCCGCTTTTTAGTTTGATGAAATTGTGTTCTGGTGAATCTTTTGACATTACAGAGCGGTACACCCACAGAGCGGATCCGGATAAAAATGCTATTATTTGCCAGAAAACTCAGGAAGAATAAAGATTAAAATGACTTGTAACCATAATAACTTATGGTTAGCATGGCTGCCTCACAGCCCTGAGGCCCGGGGTTCAGATTTGGACCAGGGTACTCTCTGCGTGGAGCTTGTATGGTCTCTCCATGTTTGCATGGGTTTCCTCCCACAGTCCAAAGACAGGCTGGCAGGTTAATTGCCTTCTGGGAGAACTGGCCTAGCCCTGAGTGTTATTGTGTCGGCCCTGCGATGGACTAGTGGCCTGTCCAGGGTGTACCCCACCCTGAGCCTGCCGCTTGCCAAGATGAGCTCCAGCTCCCTCACGACCCTGAGGTGGAGGAAGCAGTCAGAAAACTTGTAAGAGTGATATCTGGGGAGTGCAGTATACTGGTATACTGGTATACTGGTGCAATATTCTAAGTGCATATACACTTATACTGTATATTAACCAAGTAGTATGCCATCACTTGCTGTTGTTCAGTACAACCCATTCATAAAGAAAGGTGACATAACCAAAACATCAACAGTAATGGTATCCTTTTGACAAGGCCAAGAAAAGACACAAACTTACAATTACTTCCCCCTTTTGTGCTCATGTGGTCTATCAGAACAAGTCTTGACAGCGAGGCTTTTCCTTCATTGGAAATCCCCTTCTCTGAAGTCTCAGGTTCCTCGAGAAAGAATGACTTCACTGGGCCTCGACTCTACCCACCGTTACCATGGCACCTGGCCACCACAACAGAGGGCTGAATCAGAGGATTGCACAGGGCGGCTCTGGTGCGCGATACCCCAAAATAAACACCACGACTGCCTCCCACAGCAACCTCGTTATTCATAAGTGAGCTCACTGGGAGGAGGAAAGCCCCTCCAGATCTGTGAGAGATCAGAAAAATTGACATGTTGCTAGCAAATATTGACAGGTCTTTTGATTTCCATACCATAGTGTACTTACCGCTGGAAAAAGAAAAAGCATGTAGAAGAGTACTGTTTTAGAAGAACTTGACATAAGGTTAATTTATGAAACAAGTCTGTGCAGTTTAGCCCACAGCAACCACACAAAGGTCTGTGTACAACAGCAGACACCAGATCCCAAATTTGGCTCCGTGTTTTGTGCAGGGGCTTTTTTTTTTGAGAATCATAAAAACAACTGATTAATTCGAACAATTACTCCCTGCAAGGTCCATTCCTGATTAAGAGATGAACTATCAGCACCCTGGAACTCCAGCCACCCTGTCTTCTCGCTCAGCACTGCGAGCAGAAGGGCTGGTGCCCAGGTGTCCCTGCTCTCACAGCCTAAAGGACCTCTCCCACCTGAACACTACAAACCCAGTCCAAACCCCAGCCAACCCAACTCTTAACTCCAAACCCAACTCTCCTTTCACCATCAACCCTCATCCTGATCCCAATTCCAAATTTCCCCTTCAAGTGCAGGTTCTTGAAGCAGACCAACTTCAAAAGAGCCCTAAGGGAGTGTCAGGTGTCCTCCCTCTCCCCACTCACTCACTTCCTAGGATCTTTCAGGCTCTTCCTTGGCTCGGCTCCCCCCTCTTTTCCCATAATACTCTACTGTTTACCACAGTGTGGAAAATAACAGGAGCACTGGCACGCCGCTCTTCCACGGCCCGCATGCAACGCCAACCAGGGAGCACGACTCAGCCGCTGTTTTTCAGGTGAAGGCTGGAGGGGAGAGTCTCTCAGAATAGAAGCACTGTGCTGCTCTGTTCACATGTCTGCTGTTCCAGCTGGACCGCGGCTCAAACCGGACTCACAAGCATTTCCCATTATCTCGTCATTCTCCTCGCTGGGACTTGGGCATCAGTCACACGTTCGGCTCTGTAGTAATTTTCTTCCTTCTCTCCTACAGCACCCACTGGCACAGATGGCAGAAACACTCACAGATTGCAGAAAGTCCAGAGGGCCTGGCCATATGTCCACGTCCGTAAATCCCAGTAAACCTTCCAGCCTGCCAAGAGCTTCCACTGAGCAGCAAATCTCTAGGGGAGCTGCTGCCCCTGCCTGCACTAAATCCTTAGCGTCTCTGTGCTCCTCAAGGTAACCGGCAGACATGCTCTTGCTATATCGCAGCACTAATGAGATTCACCTAATCCTGCTCAGCCCTTTATGTGTGCATTTTCAGTTTCGCAAACTCCCCAGTCAACAGGAAACAGGCTCTATTCCACAGGCATTTTCAGAACACGTGCATCAGCATTTTGGCGTTTTCTGCGTTGGTACACTCTGCACCCCCGTTCTTCAGCCTGGGTTGGAAGAATTGCTCCTGGACGTTGTCAAATTTTGCGTTGTTGTCTGGCATACAATACTGCTCATTGACATGAGCAACGAAAAAGCCTGACAAAAGAAATCTGGTTGGGGAACATTCTTTATAATCTTAAAGGCAAACAAAACTTGATAATGATAATGTTTTTTTAAAAACTACTCATCATTGTTCTTAATTCAGCAAAGCAGATTAGTAGCAGAAAACAGTTTTGCTCCCTGGAGTCTGGTTTATGGATTTTCATGGATCCTACCCAAAGGGGAAAGCTGGAGAAGGGCAGTGGCCTCTTGCGTGTCCCCCTCTCCTATAGGTGCCTGGGAGCTGGGTGGCACATGGGAAGGCCGAGGTGGCCGACTCCTGTGTCAGAGAGACAGTAAAACCAGGTGGACTGTTCCTGGGAGATTATGCTGTGTTTGGAGGAGGTACAGTGTTCTATATATTGTAAGACTGCACATGGCCAGCTGCTTCAAACATACCTTTAGACAATGTGAAATGTCTCTGAGCAGCCCTCCAGAGCTAAAAGGCAGCTATTGGGATCCAGCCCTTAGGGGCTGATGCTAAAGTAAGCTGACACCCGCTTCATAACGCCCATTTATCTTCAAGAGCTGCTGAGACTCCACAAGAGACTCCCTTTTCACAGCCAGCTGAACAGACGGGCAACACCAGCTCTCTGCCTGCATTCCGAGTCAGGCTCAGGAATAACAGGTTATTCTACATTTCACTGGTTTAAATCCTACTGCTTAAAAAATCTTGACTAACCTTTTCGTGACTGAAACCAGAAGGAATGCTTTCTTCATTAAAAACTTTGAGCTGAGGAAACCACTTAGCGAGTGCTCCCTTGTCCGTGTTTTTTTTCCAGCAGTGTAGCGAAACAGATTTTGTAATGTCACAGTGGTACCAGGAAGAGATTGCACTTCCATGAAGTCATGGAAACTACAGTAAGACGACAGTTTGATTTCAACATAAACACAGAAACAGAACTGAGGCGAAGGTCAGAAATTGCACATTTTCACAATGATGTCACAACAATGGAAAAGCAGCACGTGGTTCCTGCAGGCTGGGTGGCTTGGGGGGAGGAGACTCATTAGTCTCACCCTAAAATAGACCAATTTGAGACATGGAGTTGCAGAACCCACATGAAAGAGATTAAAACTCTCACTTGTGACAAGAGTGAGCTTGGCAGCAGCTTAATCACATTTCTGTTACCATGACGCTTAACCAGAATATTACAGCAACTGAAAATAGGTGAACCAAGTAACACAAAAAATACTTGTTACAAAAAATGCAGTACAGGAAGAGGTACAGTACATTTACTAAGGCCTACTGTATAAGCAAGTTGCAAAAAACACCTTCCAAATTTCCACTTAAGTGCTTACGACAAAGGAAGAGGAACCAATATTTAATTTCCCTATTTTGTGGAAAAGGGAACTAGCTGTTATATGCAGACAGACCCTTGTTTTCGGAAAGGACACTTTATCAAAGCAGGCTAAGGAAAACAAATACTTTGTTAAAAAGCCTTTGCATATTCTAGGGAAATGAGGTACAATGTTATCAGTATAAGAAGGCCTCTCCCACGTACAATGGCCATCCGTATTATTCCAAGGGCAGTTTGAAGCTCCAAGTGCACTATCAGATTGTCAGACTGACACTTTTCTTCACCCTGCTGGCAAAGCAGTATTTCAGCACGCTGTGATGGCATCACTGCAGTCTAGGTCGCGGAGTGAGGACAGTGAGGAAGGACACTCTGGAGATCCTGGGCTTTTCAGTCTAGAATAACACCACCAGCAGCACTTTTCCAGGATTAGCATCACACTTTGAAATGGAATCCCATATGTTTATCTCAACGTGAGACACTTCTCCTTAACCACCGGAAATAAGCATGCCACCAGAAAGGTTTCCATTAATAGCGATTTATTTTTTTTCTTCAAAAAGAAAACTAATACAAGCCTCCCTTTTCTGCTTTTACAGTCCTGTCCGCCACACAACGCGCCAAAGTCAGCTCAACACTCTGCTCATACCCACACTTACGGTTTACATGCTATTTAAACAGTAGCCAACCTTTTAAAACACTCGGCAAATGGAGGAAACAATAAAACACAGCACACATTATTTTCTTTTTTTTCCCTGCTAAACCTGTACGCTCTTGTGTAACAAAATTGTATTCAAGTCTATAAAATCGAGAGGTAAAAAAATCCTATAAGCTGACAATTGAAAACAAACACAGAACTGACCGGAGGTGCAGCGTCTACATTTGAGAAGAGTGAACCCAAAGGCACTGGCTGACAACTCCCCGAGCTCAAGGGATACAAAATGCCAGGAAGGCAAGTTTCCTGGTAAACGGAGATTCTTGGAAGTGTTGGAGTATTAAAACGGTGAGGTGTAGTAGTGGACATACAGTTTATAATGCCTCTCAGTACGATTGGAACTTCATGACAGACGAAGGCAAAGAGAAGATTGCTGGGTCAAAAGATGAATGCAGCCATCGACAAGTTCTGATGTTTTTTTACACAACACAACTTTTTTACCCAGATCAGGACTCTAGTGCAGTTTATTTCTACAGTTTTATAGCTATTGTTGACAGCCAGGCCACCAAAATTTAATCTGAGCCAGTAACAGAAGAGGAAAAAAAAAAACCAGGACAGCTTGCAAAATTACCCATTTCTAAAAGCAACCTGGTGGGGGTTCTCTGTCACATTTAACTATGTCAATTTCTTTTCCATCTGTAATTAGAAATCCGTGAATGGTGTTGCATAATTACACATCGCTAACCAGTAATCAAGTTTTACAGAGTTCCACAGTTGAAAGTGCTACACGGTAACAATTCTGTTCCAATTATTTTCGAGTGCCTCTGAGGAACAACTATTCCATTTCAATCAAGGAGAAAACCTACCAAGAATTACATTTTAAAAGCATCCTGGTTTCCATGAGTTCGTAAAAGATTTGGCGTTTCCAGAGCTCTTCAGTGAAACCTTTCTGTCATTCTATGCCTAGAGGTCTGTGAGTATTGTGAAGGCAAGAGAGGCATTTTTAAGACTAATGTGGTAATTCAGCACCATTGATTTTAAATTACAGAGTTTTTCCAAATCAATTGACACAGAAATATGTAGGAGAAACAAAATTGCCAATGCAATGTGTTTTTTTTTAGCTTTACAATGATCTACCACTTTTTATTGCATACCGATAATCTAGAATCATCAGCTGTGCCTGTATGTCTCGATGTGTCTTATCAGTGACCCCTAACCCCACAAGGGTGAGAACGAGGAAGAGCAGACGGGCTCCTCTGGCTCCCCCACACGACCGGCTGTCACTGGCCTTCTCAGAGCATGCACTGCTCGAAGGATCAGCGCCCATCCGAGGAGAGGCTAGTCCCCTCACAGCCCAGAGAGCCTCGATCGAGCAACTGTACTGGACAATTGCGAACCAATTCTGGGCGAATCCTGGTCACAGCAGGTGAGTCACATAAGCCAGGCTGGAACCTGCAACGGCCAGGGAAAAGCCCAGCCTGTGACTGGCATGACACGGAACCCCAAGGGAAACGCACATCTAGACTGAAATCGGTAGGTATACACTTAACCTGGTAGAATGACATTAAGAAAGTTTGCCATATACAAAAGGGAAATTCACATATGTAGGCATCTATTTCAAGTTACAGAACAAGTTATCTAGAAAAACAATGCTTTAAGATTTTCTAATTGTCTCCCTCATAAAAGAACGTCGCTTTTAAGAAACAGACGATGACTACCCCCGCAAATAAAAACAGTACAATACCACCAGTAATGTTTTCAATTTCAGCTCCAATAAAAGGGAAAAAAAATAGGTCACCATGATCCACAGTCGTACAATATTTGTCTCACAATAATCCTCCATGCAGTTTCAAAGTTAAGGAATTCTTAAAACACAGCCTTCAAATACTCAAAAACACCAGGTGGAAAAAAATCTAGCAAGCTAAAATGAAACACTACGTCACAGTGATCCATACTCACAGGAACTGTAATTATTTCTCATAGCATAAAAAAAACTAGCAAAACGTTTCACCGTGTGGAAACTGGAGCCCAAGGGCTGTGAATGATTCCAATGGCTGTGACCGCCAGGTTACTTCCAATTCGATACCCCTTCCCGATTTTCCGAACGCCCCCCCGGCCTCCACACTCCCATTCCTCAACCTCACTCTGCTCAGGGATCACGACTGGTCAAGGAAGCGAGCCAGCCCGACCGGCGTGAGAAACATGGTCAACACTCTTTAATACAGGAGCCAAGGCCACCAGTGAGCAGTGCTAGTGACCAGTATACTGACCTCCGGCTGGCCAGCCCTGTCCGTGCCCCCGCAGGAACCCTCGGACCGCGGGAGGGGGCTGTAAACGAGCCTTCTCCTCGTTGCGAGGCGAACTCGGAACGCCCCGCTCTTCTGCCAACGTGCACATGGGTTACTCCATCACCTCGGAGCTGTTTTAGACGATGCATTATTTGGTTTTCTGTAGCTCACACACACACACACATCAGGCCCTGGCCTGAGGTCATGATGTACCCACTGGTCAGACTGTGCCGATACTGACCTGACATGCAGATATAAAGGAAGATTTAGGCATTGCAGTGGCATCTACAAAATGTCCATAATGAAAATATCCTGCTTTGTGACGGCTTGACAAATGTTCTCAACATCTACTGTGTGCTGTGCTACATGTGCGTGCTCATGAAGCGTTTCTCATCTAGAGCAGTCTAAACTAAAAAACTTCCTTCATTGCACACGAATGGGCAGAGGACTTCATTCAACATTTAGAAAAAAAAGTTACATCACCCAGGATGTTCAGAATACCTGCGCTATTTACAACAACCTAGCCTTCTGCAGCCCTTAACGCTAAAACCGAAATTATAAAGCAGCCCTTTTTAGTTCTGTTGACACAGAGATATGAACCTTTAAAAGAGTGTGATCCTATCTAATTCTGTATGTGCACACTAATAAAAAAATGTGACTTAGTGTGAAACCGTATAAAAGGGAGTAGAAGACTAGACATTGAGCACCTTTCCTTCAATATTATACTGCAGGCAGAAAAGTAAAAAATTAAAATATTAAAAGAAACGTGCTTAAAAACCTTTTCAAAAAGCAATTAAAAAATGGCTGATGTAAAATGGTTTGGTATAAAATTTCTAGAATATTAGCTTGCCCACTGAACCACATGGCTAAACTCATTTAGAAAATAGTGCATTGACTCCTTTCTGTTGTTGTTTTTTTAAACTACATTTATGCTACGCAATCAGTCCACACATAATTCTGACTGTGAAATCCTAAGAGACGAGTTTGGGGAGCACAGTACGTAGAGGTATACTCCCACCGGAGTCCCCCATCATGTTGGCCCTCAGTTTGCTGTTGGCCACCCCGATTGCAGGAGGCAGCTTGGAAATAATGCCAGGGAAAGAGGTGCTGGGTTCGGCAATCCGCTTGGGAGCTAAAGTCTTCTCCCCGCTGATGGGTTTGGGCAAGCGTTTGTAAAGCCAGGGATGTCTCATGGCCTGGGATGGCGTCATGCGGCTGGAAGGGTCCCAGTCCAGGCACTTCTTCAGGAAGTCGATGAAAGTGGGGTCGTCGCAGCCCTTGAGGGCCGTCACCCACTCTTTACTCCCCGGGGGGCCCCTCATCTTGCCCCGGCGGGAGCGGCTGCCATTGAGCACCACAGTGCCGTTGCTGTGGGTGGTGACGGTACAGTAGCGCGGGTGGCCCTTGGAGTTGATGAAGTTCTTGGCCCGCTTAGCCTGCTCCAGCAGCTTCTGGGGAGGCATACCAAGGAGCTCCATCATGCAAGCCAGCTGGTCGGCCTCATCCTCCCCGGGAAACAGAGGGTAGCCTGTCAGGAGCTCAGCCAGGATGCAGCCGAAGCTCCACATGTCTATGGGCATCCCATAGCGGGAACCCAGGATGACCTCCGGGGCCCGGTAGAAGCGGGACTGGATGTAAGTATAAACCCGCTGGTGCTCAAAGCAGCTGGACCCAAAGTCAATGACCTTGATGCCACTGCGCCCTTGCTGTTTAAGGAGGATGTTCTCGGGCTTGAGGTCGCAGTGGATGATCTTGTTGCGGTGCAAGGCCTCCAAGCACTGCAGGATCGAATGGGCGAACTTGCGTACCAGAGGAAGGCTAAAGCCTTGGAACTTGTTCCTCTTGATCAGCTCATAGAGGTTCATGCTCAGCAGCTCGAAGGTCATGCAGATGTGGTTGCGGAAGGTGAAGTTCTCCAGCATGTGGACCACGTTCATGCTGCCCGTCTTGTCCTGCTTCTTCAGGTGCTCCAGGATTCGGATCTCCTCGGCGGCCTGCCGGTGGAAGCGCTTCTCGTTCCTTACCATCTTCAGGGCCAGGTGCTGGTGCAGCTTGTGGTCATAGACTTTGGCCACTTGCCCGAAGCTGCCCTTGCCGATGACCTTGAGGAACTCATAGCGGTAGGCCAGGTGGTCGTGCGGCACGTGGATGTACCCGCCCTGGTCGTCATCGAAGCCCCCGTTGTTGGAGCCCCCCGCCACCGCGGCTCTCTTCTTGGCGTTTGGTCCCACAAAGTAGATCTCAGGGTAGTTGTAGATCTCTTGCTGCTCCAGGGCGGTGAGCTGCTGCCGGTGCTGCTTCAGAGCCTGCTCTGGGGACAGGGGCCCCGGCTTGGAGGATCTGGTCATGCTGTCCCCAGACTTGGCCGAGCTGGTGCTGTCAACGCTCCTCTCCTTGGACAGAGCCGGCAAAGGCTTGCTGGAGGCGTGGGTGCCATTGTGCTGCGCCACACTGTTGGGCTTCCTGTTGTACGAGTCCTCGTACAGCTGCTTCACCTTCATCTGACCTCCCCGGCTCCCGATCACATGATGGTCCTTCGCCGTAGTCTTGCTTCCGCCCTGCAAGCAAGAAAATAACTGAATTTTCTACACATAAGATAAAATAAGATGTGGAAAACAAAAAATAAACATCAAAGAAAACCCTTTCATAGATACTGTCAAATAAGTAGAATGAGTTAAAACAATCACTCTGCATAGTTCTGTGCTCTTGGAAAACACCCCTAGACAAAGGACAGACCAGGTGTTTAGGGCTGATGCGGCATTGACAATGTAGATATATGAACCCAAATGTCAAGTACACGTCAGAACTAGGAACAAACTGGAAATGATAAAATCCTAACCACAAGCACATTATAGTCCCGCACACTCCTTATTGTCACAATATTCTTCTTCTTGGTAAAAGATAAGGTATGCAGGCTTTTACAGTGTGGGGAAAACACGTGCCACCCTCCTGGCCTACAGAAAGAGCTCAACATCTTGACTAACAAGTTTGTTTAGCTAAAGAAATCCCTGAAGCTAGAGAACAGATAAAAGCACCTACTTCATATCTAAAGGTATAGTACGTGTGGCCAGTGCCTCTGTTCTTTAAATTACTATTTTAAGCAAGATTCAGCACAGTTCCAAGCTGCTGATTGATTAACTTTTTAATTACTAAACCTCCAGCATTTAAACATATAGACAGAAATATAATAGAAGTGTTTATGGCAATTTTTACATATTACAGCGAGTGTTCAAAATAGCATCGAAAGGTTTACGGGGCCCCTACAGCCACCTAGTCAAGGGACACAGAAAAGAAAATTAGAATTACAGACTACGATTACTGGATCAGCCTCTGGGGAATCCTTACACTGACACCCTAAACAACGAAACAGCATTAATTATGCAAGTGTCAAACAGATAGGTATGAGAAAAGATCAAGCCGCAGAAGAATCCATCAGGATAACCACCGGAGAGTGTACTTATTTAGGTGTGGTGGAGTGGTCAGGGCTCTGGAGTCCAGACTGGGGGGACGGGGGGTCTTGAGTTCAAATTCCAGGTGGGACTTTGCTATTGGACTTCACTCACTTTGCTCTGCTGCAGTTAATACCCTACTGAGTAAATGGGCATCCTTTCAATTTATCATCGAAAACTTTTCAAATTACTCTGCTGTTAAAATAAATGATTTAAAACACTTCCGAAGTCCCTCTTTACAATCCCTCTTTATCTGTAAAGCTGAGGCACAACTAGGGCAGCCACAGCACATCAATAGCAAGCCCCTGAGCACAGAAGGGTGGGCAATGGAGCTCTTGGCACACAGCAGTTCAGCAGGACTGCCAGCTTCTATAAGCACCATTAAAACAGCAGTAGGAAAAAAAGCGCAGAACAAAGAGAGGCTCAAAGAAAAAAAAAAACGTTGTGCTTCTCCCGTCAGCTGGAAGAAGGGGAGGAAGGTAAGGGCCAACCACACCACACAGAGCCAACCTGCCAGTCCAGCAGAAGAGCCGGGGCAGCTCTGCCGGCATCACGCTTCTCGTTTTGCATAACAGAAGGAAACCCGAAGAGCCAGCAGCACGGATCGCAGGGTTCTCCTGTCGTTTATCTCGGTGCACCCTGCCCATCTCCAGTGACGTGGCACGAACGGCTGGTGCCTTGTCTTGCGCAATGCAGGCTCCCAGACTTTGCCTCCATGCGCTGACACTGATTAACACCAAGGAGATGGGCTCGGAGACTTTCCTTTGCAACAGAAGAACTCGTCTTGTAACTAAAAGATACTGCAAGATTCGAGTTCCACTTGCATTCTGAATTTTTTTTTCAGACCACAAGAAATCATTGAACATCACTGAAACCAAACAGCCAGCAAGTGGTGGTCACTGTACAGAAGGGTTTCCCATAACAAAAGCTCAGATTAAGGAAAAAGTTATTTTTGTCCATGCTTTACAAACTTTGCACTAAGTTCAAAGTTCCTGTTTATTTTAAGAAAGTGATGTTGCAACAGCATCTAAATAAGAGATATACAGTACATGAGACACGGGCAATTTTTCGCAAGGGATCCATTATCCCCTTTAGAAGAAGGAAATCAGAGCCCTCTCCACTCTTGACACAAAGATCAACATTATTTTTAACTTCCTCTTGGGAAGAGCATTCCTCCTTTCTTGTGCACCCAAGGCTCTAGACGTGCTAAGAAAAATAAGAAGTGAGCATCTTGAGGCCGTCTCGCACCTGAGCAGAGCCAAGCCCTGGTGCTCGGCTCTTTTCACCCTGCTCGAGGTGCGACCCACAGCAGGGGCACGCTCGTGGCACAGGCATACAGAAGCGAGGCTTGGCTTCGTACAGGTGGAGAACGGACGCCGGAAAAAAAAAACAGGCAACCAAATATGTGAAGGAACCACTCAACAAGGCACACCCGCCACGCTAGAGATGGCATTTTCCAATGGCTTGCAAAAGTCCAAACATGAACCCCACCTCCAGATTAGCAATACGTAACATCAGCCATGGTTTTCGAGCTCGTAAGTAAAAAAGTGTTTCTAAAAAAGCTAATGGATAATGCAGAACCCTGAAAAGACGATCCAATAACTTCTCCAGTTTCTGTACTTGTGAACCCTGTACTCTTCTCAAAATCAACCCTTTTCAGATATTCCCGTGCTTGCATATTCTAAAGCCACACTCCAACTCCGACTCGAACCCGATAGCGCTCAGCCCTCCTCGGCCCTGAGGCAGTTCCACTAGCCTGCGAGGCCTGCGTCTGGGGTACAGCTCGGCCTGGCCAAGCAGCCAGCAGTCTGCAAGGGCTCTGCTAGGGCGGGCTGGTCTGAACATGCCAAGAACCCGCTCGGATAGTGACAGGAGGGAGAGCTGGAGGAGGGGGTTAGGGGAAGGTGGCAGAGATGAACCACAGTCCCCTCTAAAAGAAATCGGCCTCTCCCCTCAGGACACTCAAATAGCTGCTGATTAGTGAAGCGCACCATAAATAGAACCAAACATGCAGAGTAATGGAAGATAAGTCCTGGAATACCCTGGAGATTAGGCAGATAAATCAGCTGTCTGGATCCAGACATCAGCAAGGCCTATTATTTGCCGGCCTCGGATGAAAGAGTCCGTTTCATGGATGAAATATAAATGAACTACACAGGATTAACATATAAATGAAAAAAGAAATCACACTGCATCTGGAAACCAATCTGGAACTGCATCTGGAACTTTCAAGTTGTGAAAGGGAACTTGGATTCTACATAGGAACAAGTAATAGGTTTATTCCATGCTGAAAGAAAGAAGAAAGAAAACACAACATTTTGAAAACACCTGAAGAAGGCTCCACGGCCGAAACGTTGTGTTTTCTTTCTTCTCTTTTCAGCATGGAATGAACCTATTCCTTGTTCCTTTGCAGCCTACGCATGCTGACGCAGCTACCCACCTGAACGTGTATTCTACATGCCTGTCCTAGGAAAGACAAATACAAGGCTTTGGCTAAAAACGAAACATACACTCACATATTCCACTGGAGGGTCCAGAGCCTGTGTACTGTAAATAAGGAGTCAGACTGCAGATTATGCTAACAATTTTTCATTTGGACCATTTCAAACAGAATTAACATTTGCCAAGTGGTTGGCAGAGCTGAGTCCTGGTGCTATCAATTCAGCCAGGATCCATGAACAAAAGTCACTCTGTTACCTAACAACATTGGTTGGTTCTAATTAACTTGATATCCGGAATCGTTCACAGAGAAAATAATGAAGGAAACAGGCTTTTTGGGGGAACAACTTCCCAATTAAATTATCAATCCACTCTTTTGTTCCACTCGCATAAAAACAGTGTCTACCTACACTGAAGGCACATCATCTGTGATTTCCTGTCAGGCCATTCGATTAACAAGTTCATCCAAATGCTGCATGTGCATCAGCTAGGAACATACACACCCCGAAACTGTTTAAGGGATGTGGGAGCCTGGAACAAGCTGCCTAACTGCATTCTTGGAGCTGATATCCAAGGATCAGTTGACAGGAACTAGGGTCAATTGCCTACTAACAACAAAACTACCTAGTTAGGTTACAAACAAAAGGAAACCTCAGACATTTCCTATGTTCAAAACATATTGCACATATGCATAATGTCATAATTCCACTCAATCTGCTGAGAGCAAGCTCTTAGATAACAAACAAAAGGTCTTTGTAACCCAACAACAGGCGCTTCAGTCCAAGAGTACTATTAAGTATAGTATTGGGTAAATCTTTCGGATGCATTTTGAGATGAAATGCAGCATATTCCACTGCTCATTGCTAAACTGGATAATGAGCTGTTTTTGCAGCAAAGAGCAAATCACTTTGGTCAATTACTAGTGATAGAAATTGTATAGGTGCTCAGGAGGAGTGCTTCACGGGCATCACTGGAAACTGAAATTGCCATACTTAACCCTCCCACACAACTCACTCACTGGGCACATCAGTGATCACCAAAGCATATGGCAGGTCTGGAGACAGATCATTTCAGATCAGATGGGAAGGCAACTCACTCTTGGTGCCCAGTCCCTAGCCATCTTATCTCACGCCTTTACCCATTCCAAAACGAAGTGAATTAAAGACAAATACAGCAAGATCGCTATATACAGTATGGGATAAGACGATATCAGGCAAAACCACCAGCTCCATACAAAATTAAGCACAGAGCCATATTAAATGTGGCTTACCTCATTACAGAAAGACACTTTTGTGCTTTTGCTTAGACAATATTCTAATCCTTTACATGTTAAATCTTGTTTTAGCTTTTTAACTCCCAATGCAGACTGCAGTTTTATAGTGTTTTAAACAACTCCCCATGCAGATAAATGCCAACAAGACATACCAAGAAGTGTTGCTTTGATGAAAAAAAAATTATAATAAAAAGCGAGACCTTTCAAGGTCCCTAACAGGACAGGAACGCAGAGGATCTGCCAGATCGCTGGAGTCCAGTTACTGGGAAGAAGAGATGTTCTCTTTCCTGGTTTGAAGAGTCACAACACTGCTGCTTTTAAAACCCAGACAAGATCCACCTCCAAAACACTTTTATATCTTCATGCCTGAATTACACACCAGCTTAAGCCTAGTCTGCCCCCGAGAGCTCCGGGGTGCCCTGTTCGCAGGTACTTACAGTGTGTTTGGGCAGGGGGGGCAGGGCAGAGGGGCTGTGGGGGCGCGCGTCAGCGTCTTCGGTTCCCACCTCTTCTGTCCTCATGTACGAATCATACAGGCCGTCTGCGTGCCGGGCTGCAGGGGTGAAACACATCCATTAACACACTGTGAACTGTCAGCCACACGCACACACGTCGCTGTGCCCACATGCAGGCAAAGGACTGTATTCATACTCACTCTAATGAAAGACCTCACTGGCTGAGTCTCTAATACTCCTTATAAACTCTGTACCAAACTCACAAACAAGAAACCTGAGCCAAGGGACTAAACCCTTCGGGCAAATCAAGAAAGTAGGAAGGAAACTTTTATGTTTTAAGTTATGTTTTACTTCTATCTACTGCTTGGACTGCTTATTTGAATAACTTTTTTTGTCTACATTATTGTATACTTGTCAATATCTTCACTATGAAGACTGCTGTTACAGAAATAGCCAAGGTGAGTCTAAGTGCTCTGTCTCTCTCAAGAGTACTCCCCGGACATAACAAGGTCTGTGAATTTCCTTGGGGAGACAGTTCAGGTGACTGCCTGCTAGCCTCCTGTTGTGGCTTATGTAATGATCTCTCCCTTCAGTCTCAAAGATCTCAGGAGACTGTCAGCCTCATTCAGGAGGACTGCAATCAACAACAGAGGATTACGGACAGAGACACACACCTATCAAAGCTGAAGAGTCACAGATAAAACAGGACATTTTACTCTAAATATTTCCCTTGAGATGGAGGAAACTACAATGTTCCTTTTCCAAAAAAATGGAAACAGTATATTATATTGTAGAAAACACATCTGCTAATGCGGGAGAAATGGGATTGGGAGCCAAGTGAAAGTCAGCTGTACCCAACTTACAATAATGAAGTAAGATGGACTCTTTGTAGATGTCAGCTTTAACCGCACTGTTTAAGGGGTTAAAGCTAACACCCTTGATATGTAGGCTAGTAAAATAAATAAATCGAACCAACGCGAATATGGCAGTATTTCAGAGATGATCGCTTCATTTAGTCGTGGCTACACACGCTGACAATGCTGCTGACGATGTGAATTTGCAATCTCTCTCTCCTTTCCAACACACAGCACCCCCGGACTGCGGTCGGGGCGGCGGGTTCGTACCTGATCAATAGCGCAGCAGAGCAGGAAGCGCAACGCACTTTCGACCTTGACCCTGTGCAAAGACACGTTTCTAATGCCTGCGACCATCAGTTCAATAGGACGGTCTGGAGATCGCCCCGTTCACATCGACCTGGGGCCTTTCAAAGGCCGCCTCAGCTACTCGGCAGCTCGTAGTAAAATAAAGGCAACGAGCAGGGATAGGGATATTACCGCCGGGATGAGCGTTCTCAGTTCCCTGACGTGTCATAAAAACAATAAAACGTGTTTATGACGAGGGGTGCCTACATCATTCCCGAAAGTGCGCACACGGCCGTTACAAATAAAGCCCAGTACACGCCGGGTACACCAGTGAACACAATGATGTTTCGGGAAAGGGGCGAGCGGTTTGCGACCGGGAAGAGACCCGGGGCAGGGAGAGGGGAGGAGTGACACGGCCGAGAGGGGGAACAGCTGTCCGGGGCCCCAGCTGTCAGAAAGACCAAGCCCAGCTGTTCCACAGCTCGGACTCGAGTGGGGAGACAGCTGCGACACGCGATCCGCCGCCGTGTTTTCTGATCAGCGGTTAACAACTGCAAAGGGCGGCACGATTTAGAACGACCGGAGCAACATCTCGACTTTAAGCTTTATTGAAAAAGAAACTTTGCGTCAGTTAATGCTACTACAATTCAGCAGGCACCTTTTTATTTGATTATTAATAGAAAACGGGATGGCAACTATCACGATGTAACTAATGATTCATTTAAAAACGCACTTGATCAAGTGTTTTTTTTCCCCTGTGTAGATAACTGCGATACAATCTATCAAGCTTGTCTTGTTGAAAGGATTAGCGAGCTCTGTTTTAGTTGGGAGGGGAAATTGGGGGTACAGCTACCTGACGCTGTCACAAACCCAAGCCTTTCCAAAAACCTCGAGGGGGGAGCTGGAAACCCTACACTCCCCGCCGAATCCAACAAGAGGGAGACAGCGGGACGGTCACATTCGCCATTCTTCTTCAAAGGCTGCGTCGCCATGGTTACCTGCCGTGATCGGGCCGTCGGGCTTCCTGCTCAGAATCATCATGGCTGCACGCGGGGTGTGAGGTCACCATCCAGGGGCAGGTCCTCCAAGCGCACCACTAATTACACACACAGAGGACGAGATGTCGATCTTCCCAGATTATTTTAAAAATCGATCTATATATATACACACACACACTCCAGAGGTTAGGAATTACCTCGATTATTTCGTCTGACTTTTTACAGTTGCTTTCAGAGCGATCACACCAAAAACAAAACAAAAAAAATCGAAAACGTCTCCACTGGTTTTTCTCTCCTCTCTATAGATTTAGGGGTGCAATGATCTATTACTTATTGCGTGTTGACAATTGCACGGCATTCACCCATCGAGTCCGCTGTCCTAGAAATTGAGTAAAAGCTAAGGTCTGACCAAGGAAGACAACAGTCCTACATTTTCTAAAGGTGGACAAGTCAACGCTCGGTCTCCTACGGTCTTTTCACGGGTCTGACGGTCTCTTCTCTGTCACTATAAACGCTATAGCGCAGCCGCCAGCCCTGTCGGGGCGAGAATCATGCCTGGACTTCCCACTCCAGAGTTTGGATTCCTATCGCAGTCGCCTCTCCTGATCGTACCCGTGAACATCCCTCCCTCTGGCGAGGCTACTCTCGATGTGGCGATGAGTCGAAACCCCAAAAAAGCTCCAAAAAACGGGGAAAATATTGTTCACTTTTTCTTCATCGACCTTATTGAGCTATTTAATCTCCGAGCAAGACAGTCCTGCTTAGATGTCACAAACCAGTCTCGGTCAAGCCGCCCGAGTTGTAGCAAATATGTAGCTGCAAGATTTCGCCTTTCCATGCAGACCGCATCTTTTTTTAAATGCTTGAAAATATCAAAAAAAAAAAGACGTTTCACACACAACTGTTCTTCATACGCCTCTGCCTCGCCCGTACGTCTGCAGTTCCTCGCACCCTTCTCTTCTCAAGGATCCCAATTCCGAAAGCTGGAGTTTAAAGATTAAAGTTTAAAACATTAAGATAAAGTTGTTTTACGAGTCCTTCCCTTCAGCTGCCCCGGGGGTTAGTCGTATAAAAACACACGAAAACACGAGCACTGTCCCTGCAGAAACCAGCGCTTTGAAGTCCACAATTCCCCCATAGGACGGGCGGCAAAGCTCCTCAAATATCGCGGTCGGTTTCCGTCTGTCTGAGGTACCATCCCCTCCAAGAAAATCCGATCTGGGTAGGATATTTTCGCGTAATTTTATTTTTCTGCTTCGAGTTCCTAGATGCAGACAGCTTGCCAGCTCCAGGCTTGCTCTTCCGGACAGACGTGCAGCTGATGAAGCGGCAGCAAACGGGCTCAGTTCGTTGGTGGTTGTTTTTTTTTAAGACATCGCTTTTTAATCTTCCGAGCAGCAACCCGTCCCCACCGGATAGCACTCGTTAATAGAGGAAACCGTGCTTTAAATCCGTCTTCTCGTATGCCTCGGTGGATAGAGCCCGTCTCAATTCGGTCGCTGGTCGCTATGAGAGCCCTTTCTGTAGCTCTGCCAAAACGTCACCAACACAGCGGGGGCGGGGGGCAGACGGACTATTAAACAGGGCGTGGGAGAGGAAACGGACGCCATTTTGGCTCTCACTTGCTGCGCGTAGTATAGTAATGAAGAACAGTAAACAGAGCCAAAATGGCTGCAGAATCCCTGCCCTAACACGAGGCCAGACACTCCTGGATTATGCGACATAATCGCATTTTAGATTCTTTCTGCAATATTGGAAGCCATATTGGATGTATTTTATGCGGTTATTTTACTTAAACTATGTGATATTACCCAAACTGAGGAGTGTAGGCAATTTTTTTATTTTTAAAAACGTTATCGATAATTACTTGGTTTTGACGCCTGTTGGAGAGCCGAACAATCCTCAATATGACCTCATTTACAGTGCAATTTCTATCACCCATCGTAAAAAAACATATTGCTTTTGTGAAACTTGTTGAAAGAAGGATAACGAGGTTAAAACTCCTGGTTTTAGAAAAAAAATGTCTGACACAAGCAGATTAAAGAGACTTAATCTCTTTAGTTTTGATCAGAAGGGATTAGGAGGGAACCAGGAAAATACCTGCTCGTAGAAATTTTAAAACTATAGGTTGTATGGGTCTGTTGACTGCTTGTTGAAGGGATTGTAACGATTGTAGGACTTTGCGATGTTTGCGGGTTGTTCTTGTGTTTGAAGAGTGAAGGTGGGCATATCTCGGAAATAATGGATTGGCTCTCGGGCGAGTGACAGTTTGGCAGTAGAAGAGATTGGGATGAAATCTAATTTATTAATCAGCACCAACATTTTATGAAATTTCTTGCATGAAATTTCTCATCCTCCAACCAAATCAAAAACTACCCTTAAACGCTCATGTTAGGTTTATGTTGATATAAGTGCATCAGTTCTCAGATTTCCACGTGGTATGAAATCTATTTTTTTATATCAAATCGTTTTTGCTTTATCGACAGATAATCCTGGGATCTGTTAAGCGTCTAATTAGCTCACAACAACTTAATTCCACATACCATTCACCTTCAACATTAAATAAAAGTCCCGCAGTATGAAATTTCGCAAGCTAGACATCAGATCATCTCAGAAAACTGGCATTTCATATTGCTGAATGGTGATGCACAAATCTTCAGATTTGATGGATGACCTTAAATCGTGAATTAGATTAATTTCCTTTTACCATTAAAATGTGTGACACAAATATAAATGTAATAGTTTTAATTAAATCTAACAATGCATATACACATAAAAAAGTCATTAAATGAATCACGCAACCACTTGTACACGATGGGACGAGGAATAATTTATTTGATTTTGCGTTCCACACTCGGACGGATTCTACTGTTACACAAAGATGGCAGCCTCCTGGGGCTTGTGAGAAAGCGTTTACTGTAATGAGTTTATTAATAAATCACCGCACGGAGCTTTGCAGTTCATTGCTAACAGCCGTGAATTTACTTTGATCTTGCGTTTGCTGCTCCTCGTAATAAGCCAGGATACGGCTATATATTCGAGTGCTTTTATTTATTTTTATCGTCAATTTAAAACATGTTTGCTAAGGCTTTCCGAGTAAAATCCAACACTGTAATCAAGGGATCTGACAGGTGATGTTTCTTTTCTTAATTACCCCTTTTAAAATTGCACTTTACACAACAAGTAGATATCTTAATTTAAGATATATTGTAAATAAATAGATATGCAGTGCTTGGTTACTTTTCATATTTGTTACATCGGTTTAACGTCAGACTTTTTTCTAATTGCATCTTCCTTGCAGTATACAGTACTTTTGTTTACTTTCGGTCCAGTACACATGTATTTACTTTTTTATGATTATTGAAATACTAATGTCTTCATTTGCATCCATGTGTGGTAATTTATCGGTAATGACAAGTGTTTTGTATATAGTTGCTTCATAAAATTACAAGCGGGTTAGCACATTATGGTAATAGTGTTTTATTTTCGCGTTTTAAAGGGTCACGTTGTTATTGGTCATCGAATTAGAGTTTTGGAGCCACTCATTATTCCGTTATTGTGTCAGGTCAATCTGACAGGTCATAAAACCACCTAAAACAGAATGTTATGACAACTACCACACATTGAGAGTGCCATGGGTGGTATTGTTGTCGAGGTTTACTAAAACGTTCTTGTCTGAAATAGAGATTTGTATATACTCGATTTGTATGTATAACATTATGAAATGATGTGTATTTAATCAAAGAGAAAATTCTCATATTTGTTGGTTGAACATCAAACCAGGAGAAAATTAAAGGCAGACCTGTCCAGCGCCTTCCCAGCTCTGTCTGCTGTGCAGCTGTCTGAACTGGTCCCCAGCAAAGAGGAGCTCAACATGGTGAAGATCTATGCACATCGAGGGGATGCCATGACTCTGTATGTCTTGCACAAAAACCCCATATTCTTTGAGCTGGAGAAACAGCTTTACCCTACAGGTAACGCTACTCTTAAAGGACCTGACATCCCTGTCCTTTTCTTTGTGTTAAAAATGAGTTGTAAAGCACAGCATTAGCCATTTGAGCCATTTCAAGTTTTACAAGTTGGGACCCATCTGTGCAAGGCCAGTGCCACTGCTCTTCTGGTTCCATAAACACAGTAAGGTCTGCTGCATGCGTCTTGTAAGACCTGGATTGGATCCAGCTGCTAAGCACTGGGAGTCTTTGTGCACATGTTTTGTTTTGTATTAAAAAGTGGCAATAATAAACAAAGGGAGCTTAATATCTTTGATTAATCATCTCATCTCAAAGAATGTGTACAGCACTCCTGCATCGATCAAACTGTGTCCCTTTAATGCAAACGTGCCATTAGGTTCATATTACCTACTTGGTATTTAGTAAGAGAAATATATCACTCAAAGGAAAGCGCATGCTTTGAATAACAAGGATATTTTCTTTGCTGTGTTGTTGTTGTCGACTTATAAGCTGCTACAGTTAAGTAATACTAGTGGTACCATTGCCTGACATTCTTAGGGTTAGTGATGATTTACTATGTCTTTACTGTGTTCCAGGCTGGAGCTGGATTGAAAATAGAGTTGCAGGATATGGGCAGGACTTAGCCTTGTTTCAACCCCAGTATAAATAACAAGAGGACTGCTCTGCATTATCAAACAGCCCAATTGTCTAATCTGCAGAAAACGAACATGTCACGCTGGCTGCAAACGTGTTGACCTTTCAGTAGAATGCACTGATAAATCCTGTGGTCGCAGGTGCTCCTTGTTAGCCCTTTCAAGTGTGGTTGAGTCTCCTCTTCCTTGTTTTCAGTGTACACCCTGTGGCACTACCCCGATCTCCTGCCTGCTTTCACTACATGGCCAGCGGTGCTCCAGAAACTGGCAGGTGGAGCAGGTAAGACCCCACCCTACGAAAACACCTGCATTCAGCTTGCAAAGAGTAATGTAAAACTAAGGCCTGTTCTGTGGGTCTGACTGTCTTCCAGTCTTCTATTATTAATGCAGTAATGAAAGAAAATAATTTTCTAAGCACTTTTTAAAATCTGAATGTTGCACAGTGATATACACAAAAACAATACCTAAAGTCAAGAAAACAAACCTCCCAGGAAGCTGACTAAGCCAAGAGTGAAATGAAATGATCTATTAAGATTTGTAGAAAAAAGATGTATCAATTACATGGTGGATATTTTTAAAAGGAGCAGCCCTGGACCTGGAGAGCAACTTACGTCTTCTAATGTAATCCATCCCATCATTCAAGTCATAATCAGCAGTTGTTGCTTAATTAGTTAAGATTAATGTGGTGTTTCGCCCGTAATTGAAGATGCCTCAAGATACTGGTGGATGCTCTGCAGGTGAATTACATATTTCCCTAGAACATCAGGAAAAGAAACAGGTGAACATTGCTGTATCAGAAGCTGTCTTGCTCTGTGTCTAGAGCACTGCTGTTTTTTTTAAAATGATTACACCCAATCTGCCATTTGCAATACATCGTTACAGTCTGTCTTGAAGCATTGATGGTAGTGGGCTTTGATTATACAGTATGCTATTGGTAATACAGTATGGTTTCCTGTTAAATCCCTCTTTATGGTTAAGGCAGTAGGAACAAAATAAAAAGACTTGTTTCTGGTTGTGAATGGGGGAGTAGGCTAAACAGAAACATTTAAGTGATGATGATAATAATAAAGCATCTGTAAAATTAACTTCTCAAAGTACTTTACTGTAAGAAAAAATAATTATATGGTCATTAAAATAATGGTCTTGAATGTTCTCAATTAAGTAAAAGCCTTTCTGAAGGTGGTTTTGAGTCTGGCAAGGTAACTCTCATTCCAAAGCCTTGGGGGGATAACAAGAGAAGGCTCTGTCACCCATAGCATGTAGATCAGCTTGGGGGACAAGCAGGAGACCCGAGACAGTCGATGGAAGGTTGTGAAGTGGGGAGCACACAGAAAACAAGTCGGATAAGTACCGAGGTACCAAAGTACCGAGCCGTAAAAGTGAGCATGAGGATTTTGAAGTTGACACGTAATCTGATAGAAAGCCAGTGCAAGGACTCCAGGACAGGAGTACTGTGAGCTCTTGCATGGTTACGATTCTGGCGTCTGAATTCTGGACATACTGAAGTTTGTTCAGTTGGATTTAAATACCCCATTGAATAGGGTGTTGCAATAATAAATTCTAGAGAAGACGAATGTGTTGATCAGCTTTTCATCTACAGTCAAAAACAAAATAGTCCTGCAATGTTTTTGAGAAGGAAGAATGATGCTTTTACAATATTTTGCACATGTGGGTCCAACGACAAGCTTGGATCAAACATCACTGTGCAAGTTTAAAGTCATAAAGAACAGGGCGAGTTCAAACTTGTTACTGAGAACACAGCAAGCTGGGAAACTCAGACAGCTGTACATGTCACATCGGCTCTAGTGTGTGAATATAGCATGCCTCTGAAGGAGGAACTGTAGGCAGGAGCAGAAATCTCTACTGTAACGTATCTGGGTGTCTAAATTCGACACCCCTGCAGGGACAGTAAGGACAGTAGTAGACGCTAACTTTAGCACTCTTACAGAAGGAAAAAAAAAGACTTTCTATATTTAGTTTTGTAAGTAAGAAACCAGAACCTGTTGGGTTTGACCTCTGGACAGCTGCCTTCAGGCAAAAAAGATGTTTGTTGTGATTGTGTGGCTGGTAGGTCCCCTGAGGCTGGCTAGTCACTGCCTGTCTGTTGCAAGTGTTGTCCAGATTTGGTTCTTGTGCTCTGATGGACGCTCACACCTGGTCTGGTAGCATATCCCTGTTCTCGAGGAGTGTGAAGGCCCCCGTGGCAGTCCACACCCCGACTCCTCTGAGGAAGCGTCGCTGGGAGCGGTGGGATCGCGACATTTGGTCCTGTGCCACATGCTTGGTGCCGGCTTCTTTCTCTTCACTGGAAATCTCCGAGACCTGCAGATCAAACGATTTCTAAGGGGGGCATGCTGTTGAGTTTCAGATACTTCACAACATGTATGGTCACTTGCATTGTTAAGCACCTTGGGCCAACCCTGTTGTGAAAGGCGCTATTTGTGGGCGGAGTGGTGGCTAAGGATCTGCGCCTGTGGCTGGAAGGTTGCCGGTTCGTATTTTACGGCCGGCAGAGGAATCCTACTCCATTGGGCCCCTGAGCAAGGCCCTTAACCCCAGCTGCTCCAGGGGCACCGTATGAATGGCTGACCCTGCACTCTGACCCCAAGATTCTGTCTCTCTGTCTCTCTGTCTCTCTGTCTCTCTGTCTCTCTGTCTCTCTGTCTCTCTGTCTCTCTGTCTCTCTGTCTCTCTGTCTCTCTGTCTCTCTCCTGGAGAGCAAGCTGGGGTATGCGAAAAGCCAAATTCCTAATGCAAGAAGTAGTATATGGCCAATAAAGTGATCTTATATAAAAATAAATTGAATTGAATACTCCCGTATATTCCTGAGAGGGCAGCGGGAAGTGTTAAAGGAGACTCGTGTAATAACTTCTATTTGCAGACCACATTCATATTTCCCTTTCAAAGAAAAATGAAGAACCTACTGCGGATTTGGGTTTGACTAACACCTAACACGTCGACCCTGTTTTGCCGCAGATCTGATGCTGCCGGGGGTTGTGGTGCCCCCTTGTGGTCTCCCGGAGGTGCAGCAGGGGGAGCGATGCGCTATCAACCTGGTGAGGAACAGGTAGGCGAGCAAGGCAGCCCTTTCCAAACCGCGTCCTACCTGCAAATGCAACCCCACCGACTGACTTGCCTGTTGCAGAGCGCCAGTAGCCGTGGGCACGGCCACCATGCCCAGTGCGGAGATGCAGCGCGCAGGGATGAAGGGGAAGGGGGTGGCGGTCCTGCACGCCTACATGGACCAGCTGTGGTGAGTCTCTCTGGAGCGCGGCCCCTGCAGCCGAAGTCAACCAAGCAAGAAACTGGCAGGTTCCCCAGCCTGTGCCTATTCATGCCTGCCAGCGTGGGGCTGTACTTAGCCTTTTTGTGCTGTCGTTGGATTCTGATCGCTTTTATAAGTTCATCCTCTTCTGCAGTTGTGCTACGTGCTACTTCCGTCTCCCCCTTCCTCTCTAAGGGGTTTTGGCGACAGGTCCGGCCCGCCATCCATCCCCCCACTGGTCCCAGAGCCCCCCGGGAGTGAGGAGGAGGAGGCAGGAAGCCAGGGGGAGGAGGAGGAGGAAGAGGGGGTGCCTTGTGCCAGCAGGGACGAGGACCCGGGTGCGGACACGCCGTGCCAGGCTCTGCGAGACCTGCAGCTCTCCGGGGGCCAGGATGGGGAGGCAGAGGGCGACACAAGCGAGTGCCCAGAAGACGGGCAGGAGGAGGCGGACAGCAGGTCTCCCCAAGGTGACCGGCCCTGGCAAACTGGACCAGTCACACGCCACCGTGTCGCCACTCTGGGCTCGGAGCACATGTTTAGATCCATGCCTTTTTTAACCCCTTCGAAGCAGAAGGGAAACCGCCCTGATTATTCCAGTAGCTCTCCAGTAGGAGTGGGGAGCGGTGTCCGCCTGCGGGCAGTCCTGTGTGGAAGAGGGAACGGTCACACACGCGCAGCAGTACGGCTGCCAGGGGCAGAGGGTTGGGCTGGGGGAGGAGGGAGAGCAGGGCAGCAGGATGGAAACCTGAGAGTTGAATTCCAAGGACAGCGATCTGTAAAGGTATAAAAAGATTTATAAGAGATTATTCTGAGTGCTGGTGGGGGGGTAAAGCAGAGGGATTAACAGTTCCTAATCAAAGATATTTCCTAATTATTCACCATTCATGTGAAACTATGCTTCTTTGTTAGCTGCCCTTCTTTGGAGCTTATCTGTCTTAATTCATTCCTTGCACTCAATGCATTTACTAAATTCAGTCACAAGGTTACAGCATCTTGGTATACAACAGCTCATGCTTTCAAGGAAATAAAATATTGCATTCATGTGGAAAACATTTTTTTCCTGTATATAAATTATTGGGATATACAAGGCCTTTGTAGTGTCTTATATTGCTTCTCTGTAGAGAGCAAGGCATCAGATTCTTCAGATTCCTGGTCGTAACGAGGAATCGAAGCAGAATGTTGTAGCAGCAGCAGCTGATGTGACAGTCAGGCTCCAGCGAAAGCCGGTTTGGAAAGCTTGGAAAAGCTGTACAGCTCAGAAAAGGAAACATGTCTGTGCTCATCACTTCTAGCCCATTTCCCTTCTCTGTGTCTATCCTCTGGCCTACAGAGCAAATGGACGCCTTGCTGCTGCAGTGTTTCCTTCACGCTCTGAAAAGCAAAGTGAAGAAGTCTGAGCTCCCCCTGCTGGCCAGCTCCTTCCTTCGCAATCACATGTTCTCCTGCTGGTATGTCTGACAGAAATCTCCTATTTCTCTGACACCACAAAGCTGTTACTTCAACTCTGTAGTAGAAGACATCGGGGGGGGGAACATTACTAAGTGTCTCGCATTCTCCTTTCTAATCTGACCTGACTTCATTAAAATTGTGGGTCACAATATGATTCATTTGAGCCACCTTGTACGCCAATCCCAGTAAATTTCAGTAGCTAAGAAGGCTGGGCTTGGTCAGAGCTGTGGTGGAGGACCTCCAGGGAAAACCATCTTGCTGCTGTGATATTGGTGGACCAGTAGGTGGCTCTCCTCCCTGTGGAGCAGGATTTTCTGACCAATAGCACAGTATTGTGAGCGGGGACACTGTGATGTAGGAGGTACCGTTGTTCAGATGAAATGTTAAACTGAGCTTTTGACTATTTAGTCATTAAAGCTCCTAAGACTCCTAAGAGTAGGAGTGTGAACCCAGTACCCTGGCTAAATTCCCCTCTGGGCTTGTACAGTCAATACAAATGGAAGTGGCATACATTTCTGCCATTTAGCAAAGGATTTATTGAAGATTGCAAGAACACCAAGACAAGAAACACCTGTTCTCTTAATCTGTTTGGGGCTGGATGTTTTCAAACTCTCATCAGGTCCTTTTGCTTTGCAGCCCAGGTGGGAAGCAGCTAGACCTGAAGAAGTCCAGCTACAAAAAGGTGATTGTCCGGTTGTTCCCTGCCTGGCCTGGTACAGCCTGTTGGGTTTGCCTGCAGTGCAGGACAGGTGTTGCTAGTTAGAACTTAAGGAGAGCCTGCATCTGTCTCCAAGCAGTGTGTGTTTGTCTCTCTCCCAGTATCTGGCTGGTTTGTGTGTGTCTCTCCCAGTCTCTGAGCGTTGTGTGTGGTTCCTGAGTGGTGTGTATTGCATTTGTCTCTGAGCGGTGTGTTTGTGTGTGTCCTCCCAGTCTCTGAGCGGTGTTTGCGTCTCTTGCAGCTGTCCAGGTTTCTGCAGTGCATGCAGCAGGAGCACGGGCTGATCCAGGTGAAAGAGCTCAGTAAAGGTGTTGACAGCATTGTGGATGTGGACTGGTCGCACTCAGAGTGAGTTCCACTGTCCCTTGCCTTCCCCCTCTTTTCTCTGATCCATTTTAATAAGACACACCCTTACTTAAACCCCCTCAGTGTTCAGTTTTTTATCTTTTTAGGACAACATCCAATTTAAATATAGTGATGTATCGATCATTTGACCTTTAAGACTGTACAGTTGATATTTAAGGATGCGTTATGCCTGGGGTCTGCAGATGCTTTGATGCTAAAAGCCTGTGGAGTGATGTGCTCAGTGATACGCTTCTCTGACATTGCCTCTCGCTGGCTGTGCCCAGGCTGCGCTCTTTCGCTGTGCCCACAGACCGTGAAGCAGAGGACTGTCCCCAGGAGAGCTGTGGGGACGCCAGCCCAGCCAGGTCATACCGACCCCCAGAGATCAGCACTCTGTACGGCGTCTCTGCCAGGATGGAGCCTCTCTTCAAAGACACCCAACACAGGTGAGTGTCTTCCTGGCGCTCTGAGAACTGCAGCCGGGCTGCGGTCTCTCTGCTTGGCCATGTTTATTTTTTATCAGTGTCTTGTTAGTTCTCTCATGGTGTCATCTTCCCTGGACACTGATTTAAATTTTGTGTGTGGCTTTCGTGGGGTGGCTTGGTGGCACATTGCTTAGCATTGCTGCCTCGCAGCACTGGTGCCCTGGGTTCGATTCCGAACCTAGAGTGCTATCTGCAGGGAGTTTGAATGGTCTCTCTATGTTTCTGTGAGTTTCCCCTGGGTGCTCTGGATTCCTCCCACAGTCCAAAGACATACTGGTAGGTTAAGTGGCTTCTGCAAAAACTCACCCTAGTCTGTGGTCTGTGTGATTGGCATCCTGTCCAGGGTCAACCCTGCCTAGCGCCTGTTGTCTCTTGGGCTAGACTCCAGCTCCCCTGCGTCCCTGAACAGGGAGAATAGGTTAAAAACTCGGTGGATGGATGTGGCCCTTTCCACAGGGTTTAGGGGTGAAGAGAGAGACCCAGGGTTCGTAGTGATGCCTGCCTGCTGTTCCCTTCCTTGCAGAAAGGGGGCAGCGCTGTCCGCGGGGGACGTAAGAGCAATCATCACGGACTACGTGAAGAGAAATGAGCTGGTGGACGAGAACAACAAGAAGTGAGAGCCGCCAGCCACCCCTCCCTCCCAGTTGCTGGGAATAACCTAAAAAAATTCTGTCCCTTCTGAGTTCAGGAGCAACGAGAAAAAACATCAACAAAACCACAAGCGTAATTCTGCCCTGCGTCCTCTGCCCTGGCGCTTGAAGAGAAAAGACTCTGTGTTGTGACACAGTTAAAGAGAACCTTTAAATTGAGCAACTAGAAACCATCTCAGCAGGATGCTGATTAAAGGAGCTTTTATTGTGTCTGTCAAGGTTTTCAAGAGATTAATAATTTCAGCCTGTTCTGTAAGGACGTAAAATGTAGCAAGGGGACACATTAAATTATAGCACATACTAGACAGAGTGGAGGGGGTAAAAGCCTTTAGCTGTTATTGAAGATTTCACCTGTACAATTCAGGAATGTGTGAAATCAAAAGCGATTTACCTCAGGTGTTCCTCATCAGGCTGAACTGGAGCAGTGGTCGGCAATTGATTGCTCCTCCTGGAAAGTCAGGTGATGTTGGATCCCGAGGCACCTCACCTACAGACCCTTCTAATCCATGCAGGAATAGCCCACCGGCTCATCTCAGCACAGTGCCCATGCTGGCTCTTTTCCTCGGCTGACGGCCAGATGGAATTTTTTTTGAGATTCAGAGTAAAGAAAAGCTCACAGTCACATGTTGGTCTTCTTGCTCTTTTATCCTTTTTGGATTTTTACACCTAACATTTACTTAACCGTTACTTAAAACCTAGGATGTCTGTCCCTCTGCCCCTACCAAAGGTGACTTTTAACAAAGTGTAACCTGTCCAGGCAGAACACCAGGATACCTTTGCATGTCTCTCATTAGTAAATTAAGCCCTATATAGAGTCCTTAAAATTAAATTTAAGGACTCTATTGAGCAGTCTTGGCCTGTTCTCTACACATAAGTGGACTGACTCAAAGCAAAAGTTGCCACCCACAGCAATCAGTACAGGTGTATTTGGGGATGGAGTGATCA